CACACACACACACACACACACACACACACACACACACACACACACACACACACACTGCTATATCCTCTGCAAGAACCATAAACATTATTTTCTCTCTCAGGTCTGTTATGAAGCACGACGACTCAGTGGTTAGCACAAACGCCTCACAGAAAGAAGGTCCTAGGTTCGATCCCCAGTTCGAACCTGCGGGGTCTTTCTGTGTGGAGTTTGCTTGTTCTCCTCGTGCTTGTGTGGGTTTTCTCTGGGTGCTCCGGTTTCCCCCCACAACACAAAAACATGTGTAATAGGTTGACTTCAGGCCCAGGCCTCCCTTGAAAAACGGATCTGAGATCTCAAAGGGACTTTCCTGATAAAATAACGGTAAATATAATAAATGAAAAGAATGACGTCATCACTTCTTGTTTAGGAGTTCTCACGGCTTGTTTTCAACAATTCATCCACACACAACTCTTACTTAAAGTGTGTCCAATAATTTTTGTGTGATTGTTAAAATTTTACAGTGTGTGGTAATGTGGGCATGGCGGTTCAGCTGGCTCTGAACTTCACATAATAAACGGTTTTGAGAAACTGACAGGCGTATATTACAAACTTATGTTCCTTTTTATACACAAATTTCCAAGTGCTTGGCTTTATTTCAATTTTGTAGCCTCACCATAATTTTTTTACAACTTTTTTTTTCACAAAAATGAAACAATATCAAAAAGCCTTCTACACAAAGACTGAAACTGTCTGGTAGTGATAAGATAAAACTAGATTTAGTTTAGTTGAGTGGAAAGGCAAGATGAATTGGGAAAATATCAAATCAGATCCAATTTCTGAGCTGAAGACTCTCTTTTGACCTATATCTGAAGACTATAACTGCCTTGTTGTCTCCTGCTGCAGACAGATGAAAAACCCTAGAAACTGAAAAAGACTCACACATTTTGCAATAAACAAGTAAAACAAGATGCTGTGAAATGTGGGATTTATACTCCACAAGTTCTTTACCATTATGACAAAACTGTTTCTGTGGGGAGAATTAACTGCCTGACGTAACTGCTAAAACTACTTTTTAATGTCATTTAATCATTGACTTTTGGGCCGTGACCCAGAATGGGAAAGTGGGTAAAGATAATGAAGGGAAGGATGATGGGTGGATTATTATGTCTGAAAAAATAAATCAAAAATAAAAATGATTTTTTAAAAGATTTTGGCTTCTTTAAAAACCTTCAGTTTTACAAAACTTTTCACTTTACATAAAAATACAATTTATTTATTTTATGGCAATTTAAAAATGCATTTTCCCCCTCTTTGTATAACTTAATGAATGTTTAGACGTTTTAAATCCAGTCCAGAATAACAGAAAGTGATGTTTGGATATTTTGATTGTTTTCACTTAATGCTCCATAAGGTAGTAACCATTGATATATATTACTAGATTGGGCATGGCTAGCGCGTTGCTAGCTACATTGAGGTGCACGCACTGGAGCTCTATTATGCATTGAGGAGCCTAAACAAAATGAATGGATGGACTTTGAGGCATCATCCTGATGAAAAACTCTTATAATTTCCTTATTTCATGCTCAATTTTTTACAAACTATGGTTCAAAATAAAGTTGAAGAAATTGTGAATTTTATAGTCATGGAAATGTAAAATAGATAACAAATTTAAATGACTAAAACTGTGGCTTAAACAAAGTATTTTGTGTTTCACATGTGTTTTTTCATACAAATCGGTGAGTTCTGAGCATCTGGATATTCATACATGTATTTATTAAATGAGTCTTGGACATTTAAAATAATAAAAATAATCTTTGAAGTCTATGTGTGTGTGTGTGTGTG